TTTTAGGACTGGAAGATATCGACAGATGAGGCAACTGTAAGCCAACCACAACAAATGAGGAGTCCACAGACTGATAAGAAACGAACCAGGAATGTTCATTGGAAACTGTTTATTCAATCTTTAATTCAGCATTACACTTAGTGCAGACTAATCTGTGTGATGCCAAGGCTCTCTTTTCCCATGATACTTAGTTCACTGTGTTATCACCATGAAATTACTGTTGGGAACAAGCCATATGTTTGATGCCTTAAAATACCACAGGAAGTCCATTCAGTTTTCATTGAATCACATGTCTTTCAACCAGTGCAGACTACTAGATCAATTTATACGTGAGAGGAATTTAAAGAGACCCTTACTCCTATGGTCCTCTGCTGTCACTGGGTCTATAGGACCTTGTTTTCATTGCTTCTGCAGCACTGCCCGGTGGATGGTTGGCCTGCTGTGTACAGGAAGCTCTGAAGCACCAGAGGTGATGCTCCTGCCACCTTCAAACTTTGTTGTCAAAATCCTAGCTACCCAGATAGGCTTTTGTGGTTTGAAAGGCAAGCCTAGGCACAATAGTTCGGAGAAGACCCTATCTCAGAAAATACCCAAACACAAAATGGGCTGGCAGAGTGCGCCTCAAGTGGTAGAGCACCTGCCCAAGCACCATGAGGCCCTGGAGTTTCAACTCCAGTACCACCAAAAACACAAAGTTTTCAGAGAAGAAGTAGCTTAGTCCAGAAAATTTAACGCTATTCAGAGTAATCGCTCATCAAAGGTTCTTGAGAATAGCTTAGCCCTCCATCTTTTTATACTATAGTGTCCATATTCCTAATAATTTGTTTGGTAAGTATTGCTATGTTTCTCCCAGCCTCCACAAATAGAGTTAATGTCTTTAAGACTAGGAGTTGATTTTAAAATTAAACAACCAAATCTTAAGTGTAAGAGGCTTTTTCAACTGTTCACTCTTGCCACAAAAATATAATAGATTGTTTAAAGTTTATCTGCCGGTGGTGTTGCAGCCATTATTTTCCTACATTCTTAAGAAAAAATACTGCTTTTTAAAAACTTTGTTTCAGGTATCTCTGTAGATAGTTGCTTTGTAGGGCATTGCTACTTATATTCAGTTTTTGTGCACTCCAGAGGACTTGTGGCAGGCAAAACAGCACATGTGAAAACACTTTATCACTTGGTGTTCTTTCCTTGCACCATTCACCTTCTTAAACCATTTCTACAGTTTGTGCCCACTCCCAAGAGTGATATTACTGTAAAGTCATGGAAACAATTATTGTGAGTCAGACACCAAAATACATCCATTTCTCTAAGGATTCAGTTAGCTTTGTCATGGCCAAGTAAGTGAAGTAAACATACTTAACTATGCAAGAGACTCCAGGGCAACTGGCACTTTCCTCCCAGCCTATTCATGGGAACATCCTCTTCAGCAAGAAGGGTGTATTAGTTTCCTGTGGCTATTGTAATGAAGTAACTAAACCTGAGTGGTTAGAAGAACAGAAATGTTTGTCTTACAGTTCTAGGGACTGATGTCTGAAATCAAGGTGTTGGCAGGGCCACGCTCCCTCTAAAGGTAGTTTTTGGCTGCCATAGCATAATGCAGTCTTCAGGTATCCTTCTCTTTTATGTGTATGTCTGTCTCCAAATCTCCCCTTTTTATAAGGACACTAGTCATTAGATTAGAGCCCACCCTACTCCAGTATGACCTCATCCAAACTAACCACACGTGTAAATCCCCTCTTTCCCAGTAAGGCCTCATTCTGAGGTACAGGAGCTTGGAGCTTCACCACATGAATTCTGGGGAGGACACTATTTCAATCCATAATAAGTATTCTTTGAAAAATGCATTTTGAAAGAAAGAGTTCCACAGAGGTAAGACTGCATTTCAGGTTGTGAATGTCCTCTCCACATTATGGTGGCAGTCCCACGTTCTCTCAAGTTGGCCATTTTCAGCCCACTAAAAGGACACTTGCAGCTCTGACAGCGTTTCCCTGCTGATTGACCCAGATGACTGCTGACAGCTGAAGCTGAGCATGGCCTCCCAGCCCCTCACAGATCCCCATGCCATAAAGCTCTGTTCACCTGAAAGAGGCCTCTGCAGACTGTCACAAATGCCACCTCACCTGTCTCTGCTGCTTCTCTGGTGCCCCGGCCACTGCCCAGGAAGCCCTGCCCTTTCCTGTTCCCTCTGGCCCTTGAGGCCCATGCACATGGCACCTCTTCTCTATAGTTTCTGTTTCACTACTTCCTTAGCCCCAGCCTGCCTAAAGTACTTTCTATTGAGCTGCATCCACTCACACGTTGTTTTCATGTCTTCTCTAATAAGATGTAAGGCCTGTCAAAATAAGGTATTTGTTTCTTAATGGTGTTTTAATGGTTAGAAGTGGCAACTTCCTTCTTGCAACATTAAAAATACAAATCCAATATAGTTCTGAACACATTGACTTTCTAGTGTAGAGTTTTAGATAGCAAATTAAAAACTATGTAAAAACAGAAGCTTTTATGTCTCATGATGATGATAAGCAAAAGAAAACTGGTTTTTTCCCCACAAGAATATATAAAATTTATAGAATGAATTGTTAGCATTCCCGATGCCATGAAATATAGTCTGTTGCTGCTCTCTGTCATTTAGGATGATCATCGTCATCTGAACCAATTTATAGCCCATGCTGCTCTTGACCTTGTGGATGAAAACATGTGGCTTTCCAACAATATGTACCTTGAAAACCGTGGACAAGTTCAATGAGTGGTTTGTCTCAGCATTTGTCACTGCAGGACACTATCCTACCTTATAGTAAAGCTACTTAACTAAAGGTTGGATTAACAAACTAGAAGTATGTGGAGGTCAAAGAGTCAGGTGAAAATGGAAAATTTCCCATTTATGGGGCTAGTTTTGTTAGGGGGGAAAAAACCACATATTCTTTAATAGACAATTTAAAAATAAGATTCATATAAAACTAAGGTTTAGCTGAAACATATCAAGGGTGATTTTACTTTATATCTGTTTTTCTGACTTTATGTTTTTTTTTTGCAGTACTGGGTTTGTATTTAAGGCCTCATGCTTGCCAGTCAGGTGCTCTACTCTTGACCCACACCCCCAGCCCCATTTTCTAACTTTAAAAGATTATATTCTCTTTAAGATAAAACTAAGTTAACTTTAAACCCAGTTTATGTATTCAACTTTTCCATTTGAAAATACAGTGTATGTGATTAATTTGAAGAATATTGCATCAACCGACTGTGTTCATTTCTAATAAAGATTATACCTTAATTATTTCACATATGAGATTTATCATGCTTCATGATATAAGACAAGAAGATGGAATAAAGAATTTCTTTACTGATGTCTACGATTTATATATAAAGGTATGTTGTGTTCTATAATTTTTTTTTTTTTTGTGGTATTGGGGTTTGAACCCAGGCCCTTGTACTTACTAGGCAGGTGCTCTACCACTTGGGCCATGACCACAGTCCAGTTTTTGAAGATCTGATTGTAAAAAAGGATTCTAGCTTTGACAGGAGACTGGTCTGTTTAAGTAGCTCCCTTAAGTTAACACAATTTTTATATCAGACTAGCTTTCCACCAGACAGAACTAGCTAAGGCAACTTTCTTAGCAGGCAAGTCTTCACTGCCAGGTTAGCATATATTCAAGAAAACAACTCATGATAGTGATTTTTAAATTATCGCAAAGGTAAATCATTGTCATTCTTCCCCTTTTGGTGCATATAGTTGAATTTATTAGGGAACCCTAAAGAGAATTACGAAGCAGCCTACATAAGTGAAAAGCTTTATAATTGAATCTAAAATGCTTTCCATCTACTTTACAAATAAGCTACAATGCAGTGAATATAGATCCTAAACTGGTAGGAAATGATTATTTTATCAAATAGCAATGCAAGGAAAATATGCCACCTGTATTTCTTGATATTGAATTAACAAAATAGTAATAGGATATCATGGTTAAACTACAGTGCCAACAACATTATGTTCTTAAATATGTTTGTATTGAACAGGACTTTTTACAGATCAGAATAGTAATAAAATTGAACAATCCATATTCTTAGGTAAAAGTGACAAAAAAGAATATTTAGCCCTCATAAAGAGTTTCAAGTAACTACAGGTATAAAAATTAGTACCTCCTTTCCTCATTAGTAATTCCATTTAATATTAATTTTTTTCTGTTATGATGCAGTTACTGTATTAGAGAATGATTATTTAGCCCTGTGTTAAAGGAGAGTATTAAAACCCTGATAAAAAATTACCACATAAGGAGCTGGATGTAGTGGCACATGCCTGTAATCCCAGCACTGAAGCTGAGACAGGGAGATCTCAAGTTTGAGGCTAGTCTGGGCTACATAGTGAGACCTTATCTCAAAAAAAAAATTTATCAAATAAGAGTTACTCAAAAGCAATGTATAAACATTTTCTTAACCTGAATATATGAGATTTTTCATTCCTTTATGTAGTCCAAAGGGTCTTAGAGATTAATCCATGTATTTATAATGAGTACAAGTAGATTTCACACACAGGGTGAATCTTAAAAGTTAATTTGCACAAATAATATGTATCATACTACCTACCATTAGTTTAACCACAGGTATTTCTCAGAATTAAAAAAAACTAAAACAAAAGTTTGTCCCTTAAAGGATTTTACTATTTTTAGCAGTAGAAGGTTTTCAATGAAGTTTAAGAATGGGGTCCTCAGAGTTTGTTTTGAGTGTTTTTAATGATTTTTAATTTAAAAATGTAAATAATTTCCTTTTAGAAACTATGATTGTTAACGCTTTTTGTTTTGACAAGCTCACTAATAACTTCTTCTTCCCTAGTTTGCAATGAATCCATTTTATGAACCCAATTCTCCTATTCGATCAAGTGCATTTGACAGAAAAGTTCAGTTTCTTGGGAAGAAACACCTTTTAAGCTGAATGCAGAAAAATTCCAACATAAACAGTGTCACCACAATGGGGTATACTCAGGAATGTGTACATTGTAAGTAACTTGATTAAATAGCCTCGAAAACTCTTGTTTCAGTTTATTCTAAGTCAAGTATAATGTCTTTTATGTTTTAAAATAGTACATTGTTTCATTTTGTGATCAACTATTTGCTTATGAGCAGTGTTATTTATAAAGAGTTCAATGATCTTTAAACTTATTTCAAAAGTTGAGAATAAGCTTCTAACTTTCCTGATTCAGATAGCTTGATCTTGATGTAACTATTCAAAACAAATATCATAGGATTTTGGTAAAGTAGATTTAAAACAAAAAGATTCGCAAAAGTGAATGAAATTGATAGCACATACTTTGACTTATTCATACATTTGGAGATGTTCTAAAATTTATTGCACAAATTTTTGCAGACTAAAATGTTGCATGTCTGCCTCTTTCAGAGGCTAGAAATAGTCATCTTGCTATAATTCTAGAATCCTCGACCCATGTAAAATAGACCAAAGTTATAGCCCACAGTGAAATGTATTGCCTCTATCACTTTATGTTCTTGCATTTTCTTTCCTTCAGACAGTAAGCTGAGGGTTAAATGAGACTGTTGATATCTGTACTTATTTAAAAAAATAATAATGCAATTTGGAAAATGTTATTAAAGCTTAGATTACATTAACATTTGCACTTGGTGTTCTAGGGTATATACCGAAGGGGGGGTCAGGAGCAGTTTCTTCTGTACTATAGAAGAATTTTGTTCCATTTTGAATAACTTTTGAGCAAGTAATTCTAAGCATTGCTCTTGTAACCTTGTGTGAAGTTGCTGCCATGATTTTTTATTCTATTTGATTTCATTAATAAAGATATAACCAAGATTATGATAGTTTGATGTCTAATTTTAAAATGCTGCCCAACACCAGTTGGGCAGTCCTACTTCTATATTGAAAGTCTGCAAACTAATGTGATCTCTTTAATCCAGTAGACAGCTCAGATCACTTCCGACTAGGTGCCAGAGCTTTGGAAACAGGAAGACACTCATCTAGAAATCCAGGAGTGATTTCAGCCATGCTAACAGGAGAGACCTAAACTTGTAGTTACTGTATATAACTTGCCCCACCCTCAATGAGCATATAATTCAGAGGACATACTTTTAGCCAGCCAGGGCAGCCTTGTGTTACAACAGAAAGTCATAGGGATGAAGAGACGTGGGTTCTGACCTTGGTTCAGCTAGCTACACAACAGTGGTGCCCTACAAATTGCCTTGCTTTTCTCCAGGCTTGTGAAGGTGAGATGGGAACTAGGAGTACATATCCTGTATATTACCAAAGTTAAATGCCAGTTTCTCATGTGTGACTATGTCATTGAAGGAGCTCAAGGGGAAGTCCAGCAATGAATGGGACCTCATGTGGGTTGTGTAGGAAAGCAGCATTCCAGGCATAGAGGTGGGTTAGATTAGCTGGAGAAATTACTGTGACTGATAGGCCAGGACCAGGACAGGTGTAACTGAGAAACCAGGAGGCTGAGCATTAGGAAAGCTAAGCTGAAAAAGCTTGGATATAGGTGTTGTCCCTGAAGATTCTGGAACACAAGGCTGTACCAAGCACATACACCTCAGTACTCCAAAAGTGATCCAGATAAAGTACACAAACCTGGTTTTATCCTCCTTCTATAGCTGGAAATTTCTTAGGATACTTCGTTCAGTGTCCATGTTTCAGAGAATAGATACTATCAATCTCTGCTCTGACCCTGTGTTTGTCACTTCAACATTTCCTGTGACAGTCCATGGCATCCCAGAAACCTGACTGTTCAGACTCTACCTTTCACTGGGTACCTACTTCAGTCCATTTTTCTACATTAACACTTTACTGTTTTACAAGTCAGAGATTGTGAGCAAACTTGGATCATGATGTGAAAACTTAGGTTTTAACTTCAACTAGGGAATGTTTCACAAGGGTAAAGAAAGTGACAGAAATGTAAGTAGTCTATTGATAGAACTGTAATTTTCTATCTTCCACACTCCACAACTGCTACGTCAGTTGTCAAATGCATTTATCTGTTCTCCAAGTTCAGTAGTTTGCCTTTCTTAAAACTAAGCTCTTCAAAAGGCTTTGCATTCATACAGCTTGAACCTAGCTGGATGTGTGACTTATTGTAAGGACAACTGAAAGCCATGGTATGGTGAACAACTGCAGTATGCAGTGTCTCTCCCCACACCCCTCCACCCCCATACACCTACAATTCCTCCAGTCCATAAAGCTTTCTTCCTGGGAAGTTGGGCAGCTGCATATCACCACTACTGCTGCCACAGTTGCTACCTGCTTTGTTCCCTATCTTCTGTTGTCTTTCCATATTGTTTGTAAAGGTAGTACCAAACATCAGTCGTCAGTGTGCCTTTTACTTTCTTCAAACAAAAGAAAATCATATTTTTAGCTACCCTTTGCTACTGGTTGAAGAGATCTTTCATCAGTTAGCTGTAGTTTGAAGGCCAAATCTATTCCATAAGGTTTTATTCCTTCTCTTGTTTCTTACACTTTAGTACCATGTTTGGTAAGCTGGCAGTGTTCACTGTAACCCTTCAAGAGTATGAGGCTGGATTACTTTTCCCCTCTTTCAGCCTCTCTGCAAACACAAAGATCTTTTCCTTTTTTTTTCTGCCCAGCTCTAGACCTTTTGAAAGCCCTTTAAAGAGGTGATTAAATTGAGGCCATTTGGGTAGGCCTCAACCCAAAATGATAGTATTCTAGACATTTGGACATACTCAGACACCTGGGGTGTGTACTTACTTACAGAAAAAGACCAGACACAGTGAGAAGGCAGCCAAGAAGAGGTTTCAGGAGAAACTAAACCTGCCAACACCTTGACCTTAAGACTTCCAGCCTACAGAACTATAAGAAAATAACTTTATTGTTGAAGCCACCTGTCTGTGTTTCATTATGGCTACCATAGTAAACTAACAGCATACTTTCCTTACTAAATATCTAACATTCCTTCCTGAATATCTTGAGTATACCCAAGAAACTGATACTTGGCTGCCTCCAGGGACAAGAACTAGGTAACATGGGTAGAGATTTTGAATAATAAAAATGACTTTAAATACCCATTGCTGATCAAGGTGTAGGAAGCTGGCACTTTCACATACTACTGCTAGATCAGTGCCCAGAGATAATAATTGGTTGACTAAATTAAATTATTAAACATAGAGCAAACAAATGAGGTAGGTCTACTACTCTAGGTAAGAGAAAAGGGTTTGTTACCAGACAGTGGATACACTTTTGATTTTAAAAAAAAGTCCACTAAAGAAAAAACAATATATAATACAAAAAAAGAACATATACTACAGCTGACTAAGATATGAGTATGAAGAAACTGCCCAAATTTTAAATGGTTCCATGACAAAATTAGCCATTAGGAAATTACTTTCAAATGGTTAGCTGTTTTTTCAATAATGATTTTTCAGTAGTTCCCAGTGAGTGGAGTTTGGAGAAAAATATATCAAATTTTTCAAATTCTACCTTCCCTACATGACAACCAGCACCCCACCCAGTATGTCCTTTAAATAACCCCAATGCTCTATTGAGGGAAGAATCCTGTCCACAATAACTGCAGTTTAGGCTTTGTTTTGCTCCATAGGACAGGACTTGTCATCAATGGTACAGCATGTGAACTTGACTCATGAAAGATCAATTTGCTTTATCAAGCCTGGTCATTACAGCCAAGTCCTCTTTTTTTATTACAAAAAATCTTAAGGGCATGTTTAGTTATCTAGAAGAGACTCAATAAGTACCTGAGCAAATTCAGATGTCTTCGTTTATCCTCTCGTAAGTACAGTCCTTACTGTTTCCTTCAAAAGTGATAAAGTTGTGTGCATGTGTAGCACACAATGAGCAATTGTGAGATTAATTCTAATGGTATGTAGAATGACATAAAAAAGTTAAATCACTTTAAAGAGATGAAGAATCAAAAAAGCAATGCAAACATAAATGCATTAGATTTAACCTTTAATATTTAACATTATTGCTTTAGGAATTTTCTCCTGAACCAAGAATAGAATGCTAATTACATAAAAATATGCCATATAAAAGTAGTCCTCCATTTTCCCAGGGAAAAAACAATCCAAGTATAATTTCTACAACAGTCAAGTTTTTTGTTTGAATTACAATTAAATTCCTGGTCACCTTACTTATTAGCTCTAACTTACAAATTTAAATTAAACATTATTAGACAACCGTTACAATTTATAAATGTAAGTTGCCATTACCAGGTAAATAGATTCCTCCAGAGTGGATATGTCCCTTCTCCCACCAACTAATGAAGTAGCAATATACGTTAGTTTAATTTTATTAGTAGATGAACGCTGTGGCAAATGCTAATTTGCTTATCCACCCTCGTCATATTTATTGTGTGTATATGTGTGAGTTGGTTAAAACGTATGGAAAATCTAATGATCAACAGCAAGATGAACTTGGTTTAGGCTTTCGGTGAAGATTGACTGTGTCTGTCTGAATCAGGTGATCTGACCTATCCTCAGTAGCCAGAACTCTTCGAACTGCCTCCTCAAAGGCTGCTGCAACATTGGTGGCATCTTTTGCACTTGTTTCAAAATAAGGATAGTCGCCGTTATCTCTGCACCATGCTTGTGCCTCTTCTGTAGACACCTGCCGTTCACTTATATCGATCTTGTTGCCCAAAATCACAAAAGGAAAGCTTTCGGGCTCTTTTACATCTGCATAATATATGAATTCTTTCTTCCAGTTGCTCAAGTTCTGGAAGCTCTGTGAATCATCAACACTAAAAGTAAGCAGGCAACAGTCAGAACCTCTGTAAATGGTGTCCTCAGGCTTCGGAACCGCTCTTGACCAGCTGTATCCCAAATCTGCATGGTAACAAAATGTCCATCCACCTCCAAATCTTTATTTAAAAATTCCACACCTATCGTATGGAAGAGCTGGGCATCAAACTTATTAGTTACATATCTGTTCATAAGAGAACTCTTCCCAACTCCACCATCTCCAAGGAGAATTACTTTAAAAAGTGACGATTTTCCTGCCATTATTAATCTTACAATTTCACTTCAGAACCCTGTAAAATAAAAAGATACCATTATATTTCTTTACACCTGACAGTCCTACATGACTCTAGGGATATCAGCATTTAAGTGAAATAAAACACACAGCCCTAATCCTTTTTGCAAAAGGATTAACTAAATAGCAAGTATTATCATTTACTGAGCGCTCAGATGTGGCAGACACTCTTAACATTGTTCCCGAGAACAGCTGTACTACCAGGGCTCATTCTTCCCTTTCTCAGGTCATTGCTGACTGTGAAACTGGCACTCCAGGCCAAGTCTGACTCCCAAAGACCTTGCTCTGAGCCATCACTCTATAAGTTCCTCCTCGCTTCTAACAGGCCCCAGGGCCCACCATCATTTGTTACAAAGATGTGGTAAGAGACCAAAGTCCACAAGTTAACAGCCCTTCAGTGCATAGTGATGGTGTTCACTGACAGAGCACCTTATGCCAGGGATTTTCTTTACTACCTCTTCCCCTTCTCTCTTCAGACACAGATGCTGTTAAGCAGGAAAGCCAGAGACTTCCAGAAGCTCACTGATAGGGCTGTGAAATAAAATGAGGCAACCACTGAGTAAATGGAGTTTATTCTCTTCATTAGGAACACTATTTTGAGTTGCTAAAGTTAGTATTAGCAGCAATGGAATTTTTAATATAATCTACCACATTCTACTCATAAGACTCATTTGGGCAGCTCCAACTCTTAGCAAATAGGAGCCTGTGCTATTTGTTACGTGTGTGTTCTGAAATGGAATGAAATAAACCTTAAATGAAAATGTGCTACTATACTACACATACCCTTTAAAGGAAGTCCAGGGCAGGATTAAAAACTTTTCCTGCACTATAGGATCCAGCCTTGTGGGGGTGAATTTTCTGGTGCCTACTACAGATGTCTATTTCTAAGTACCAATGAAAGTACTTAATGCTTCTGTTTTAATTTTTTATTACGAAAAATTTCAAACATAACAAAATTCTGAGATGTGTGGTGAATCCTGTTTTCCTCCATAACGTCCACTCTCCTTTGTCCCACTATTTTTAATCAAATTGTATCATTTAATCTGTCAAGTATTCAGTATTAAATTGCTTTTTAAGTCTATTAAAATTTGTGAAGGAAAATAAACCTTTAGAGTAGCATTGTCCAAAAGAATGTTATACAATGATGGAAATGTCCACTGTAGAAGAAGTCACTAGCCACTTGTTGAGCACTTGGCAAGTGGCTGATTAGAGCAAGGAACTGAATTTTAGATTTTCTTTATTTGGTGCTTGGGGATTAAACTCAGGGCCTTGTGTATCCTAAGCACACAATCTACCATTAAGCTATACCCTCAGCCCCGTTTATTTAATTTTAGCTATAGCTGCATTTAAAGAGACTATATAGCTGTATTGGACAGTAGAGCTCTACAGGGAAAAATGGCCATTAACTTTAACATGAAAGTAGATACTGTGAATCCTATCAAGGGGGATGGGGATGGGGAGTGAGGCAGATAAAGACGAGCAATAATTGTTAAACTGGCTAGGATGAATTTACAAAACCACTGGAGTAAACATTACCTGGCTGTCTTCTTGTTATATACAAAATGTGACCCAGTAAATGTAACTTTTGCAACATGTAAGAATTTGGAACTTCTAATTACCCACTCTACTATTCTTGTAAAGCCTGTAGCACTTTCTACAGTGAGAAATAATCAAGTAAGTGGGAAAATATGGTTAAAAAATCATGAGACATTCATTAGTTCCCAACTTTTTGGGGTTTTTTGGTTGTACTGGGATTTGAACTCAGGGCCTTGCATTTGCTAAGGCAGGCTACCACTTGAGTCATACCTCCAGCCCAGTCTACAACTCTTGCTGTTTCTTTTAAACTACCACTCCAGTAATTACTAGTATAATTAATACAATTTAAATTTTTGTTCAACAAAAATGTGAGGCAACTGATGTGCCTACCTCTTAGGAGACTTTTTGATATCAAATGTGATGCTCTGCTCAATGTCTTGACTAGATGTTAGAGAGTAAAACAAAACAACCTCAACTACCTTAATTTCCTGACACTGGTAACATTCACTAAATTAGTTTCTTTGTTTAATTAGTTGGAATCTTGCTTAAACAACTACATCTTAAAGAAAAAACAGGACCAAAACCAAAAATTCAAACCAACCACAGTCATGCACCACAAAACAATATATGTGTCAATCCAACACCACATATACTATGGTGTTCCCAAAGATTATAATGGAGCTGAAGAATTTCTATCATCTAGTGACATCGTAGCCGTGGCAGTGCAATGAATTACTACTCATGTATGCAAATACACATGGTGGTATAAAAAATATACAAATCATCTTAGTTCCCACTGATAGACATTTAACAGAATCCAGCTTCATTCAATCTATACATTAACATAATCACAATGAGTTTATAGACATTAAAAAATGTTTCCCTTGTTCTTTTTTTAAAAACAGAATTTTTTGAAATTTCTTTAAGTTAAATAAATAATAGTATCCTACTATGTTATTTTAAAATTTTAATGAAAAATGTAATGTGAAGTGGGCTGGAGATGTAGCTCGGTAGTAAAGTGCATGCCTAGCATGTGCAAGACCCTGGGTTCAATCCCCAGCACTGCAAAAAAAAAAAAAAAGCTAAAAATGTAATGTGAAGTCTCTTATATATTCTAGTTTGGAATGATTGTCCAAAGGCAAGCATCTTCACCAAAATATTACTTAAATAATATCATTATAATACAACTAAATTTTTACAAATAAATCTCAGTAAGAAAATAATCTATAGGTCATAAACCATACCTTAATAGTTCCATTCAAACATTATTACCTGCAATGAAAAAAAGTAGCACACATCAGCAATACATTTGTTTTCATAATTGTAAGAATAAAAACAAGAATTAAAATGTGAAAGAAGTATCTGACTTCACCCAGATTTTTTTTTTCCAGTACTGGGGATTTGAACCTGGGGCTTCACCCTTGCTAGACAAGTGTTCTACCACTGGAGCCATGCTCCCATTATTATACAGATTCTTAACTTAAAAGGAAAACCATACCTAAATATCTATGATCTATCTCAGCCTAAAATCAGTCCTGCATCAAATATTACATTTTAGGCAGAGAGGCAACAGAGTGCCTGCCTAGCAAGTGTGAGGCCCTGAGTTCAAACCCCAGTACCAGCAAAAAAAAAAAAAAAGAAAAAAATGACATTTTAATCTTTTTTTTTTCCTAAAAGTTTTTACTTGGCCAACATTCTTTTCTAAATTTCATAGCAGAAACAGCTATAAAATTATATAAGGTAATGTTTCATTCCTTCTTCAAAACCAGTCCAAATTTTGGGTAGCTAAGAATAAGCCACATTCCAGAGAATAAAATAAAGATAACATAAACAAGGAAAACAGGGGCCATGTGGGGAGGGGCACCAATATTATCCAGGAAGAGTCAGCTAAGGTCTGCAGACAACACAGTGCCACACAGCTTCTGGGCAGCCAAGGCAAAAATAAAAACTCCACTGTGAGGCGAGTAAAAGCACACTGTCAGAAAGGACAACTTGTTCCTGGTACCAGTGGTTAGGAGTGTAGCTTTGTGGGTAGTTGAGCCACCCTGAAGCCTAACAGAACTACAGCAACAACAACCTACCTCCTAAGGTTGCTGGGAAGAGTCACTCAGATGATCGGACACAAGTGTTTCATCACAGTGCCAGGCTCATTAGAGGAATGTGGGAAGTTTCTGTGGAATGAATACATGAAGAAGTCTTTACCAGCAGTTTTACAGACAGGTTCTTTTTATGGTCATTTTTTACATCAAACTTCAGCAACAGCTATAGGCAGGACAAATTATATGCAGACCTACATTAGGAAGCCAAAGGATCACATTCAGTGTGAAGGTTTCCCAGTGAAGCCTATGTGAAACTATGCTAAAGTACAAGGTCTTTTGATCTAAAACAATGGTTTAAATCTCCCACCCACCCTCTTCAAAAGTAAAGGACATTTTTGTGGAACTTACATATGGTAGTCCTTAGCAGCTAACACTGATTGTGCCCTATATGCCATTTGCCCTGTGACACTGCATTTATTCCTCACAAATCTCTTATTCCTACATTACAGATGAGGATACATACCTTGCTCAAGATCACACAACTAGTAAAAGACGGGAGTAAGATATAAATGTGGCAAATGACTTTAAAGCCAGGCATTTTAACTCACTGGGCTACTTCAATCACAATTGCTTTTGCATTTGTTTCTGAGGGTTTTACTGTTGTTGTAGGTATAATGAAAATAAGTATTTGCAAACAGTAATAGTCTTTCAACTGCTTGCTTTATTCTAACATCTGCATAAGAATAAGTCTAATCTGTCAAAATACAATATAAAGCACATTTAAGTGGGCCTATGTTTTAATAGAGTTTAAGTGGTTTAAAACATGTTTTAAATGAAATGTTAAGTCAAATGTTTTCAGAACTCTGAAGCATCTCCACAGAAGCCTAGTGTTCTGTAGACCAGATGGAAAAGCAGTTTTCCACAAGTATTTAGTGAGTGCATCCTATGTGCCAGACGCTGAGGACAGTCCTGCCCTGAGTGTCGGTGATATCTAACACACAAAGCCACAACTGTGGCAAGTCCTACGAAATGAAAGGTACATGGTCTAGAGTCTAACTATTCACATTCAGTCAAAAATCAAAGAACAACTTAAAATAGTGCAGCAGAGTTTACCCACCATCTCCTTCAGTGAGAAGTACAATGTGTAAACTTGGGGTTCCCTTACTCAGACCTAGGCCTTGCATACCAGTATCTCATGGAACTATGCATGATTCCAGCCATCAGGGAGACTTACTTTGCATAAAACATGATCCCGTAACACAAACCAACTATTTAACCTGCTGAGCTGCAGTTAAGGAAAAGGTGATACTTTATAACACCAGAGGGAAACTGGGTTATATGACACTGTGTTAAACGAGAGATTGAACATGGTGTTCCAGCGATTTGTCTTAATGATGTTAGCCACATGCTTTCTTAGGATGAAGCCCTCACCAACCCAAGGGAGAGGGATTTGACCCAGGGGAAGTGGGTTTGACCACAGGCTAAGCTCAGCAGAAGGGAAAAACTAAGAGAGGAAGGAACCAGGACCAGGAAGAGGGACCACCTCATGCCAAAGCTCTGGCATAAACTCAGAGAACCCAAGGGAGGCCTGAGCACCTGGAGGTGAGTGAGAAGTGTACTAGGGAGATGAGAGTGGAGGGAAAGGCCCCGGAACAGTCAGGGTCTTACAAGTCTGGGGGATTTCTGCCTGTACCATAAAATTAGGGAAAGCCACCAAAATAGCTTCAGCAGTGAGTGAGTCAATCTAATAGGGAGTCCAGAAAAGTAACTGGCTGGCTGCAATGGGAGAACGAGCTGTATTGTAAGAGAGGTGGGGATGAACATAATTCACTCAGATTTTTGCTTCCTCCCCTATAGAATTTGCCCCGTTATTAAATATGGCCCCAGATGGAAACCTCATAGAATATTTTTCCTTGTCTGGAAGAAACCAGAGCTGAACAGTTCCTGGAATTCCCAACTGCTGGACCTCATCCACAAGGATGCCCATGTCTCTAGCTATCTGTTAGAGCAGGGACGGATGCCATTATGATCCCTCTCCACTGCCAATGGCATCAGCTGCACACAGGATAGAAAACTGAGGAGGTTGTGCCTCACATTTGATCCTCCAGTGTGTCTTCAAGCTTCACCTTGTACTGCTTTGGATCCTTCCTCTTGTTACCTGGCTAACTCTAACTTCCCTTGATACAACTAGACCTCATCCCCTTCTGAATACATTTATGACTGACTGAACTTTTTCCCCCTGTGCTTATAACATTTCCCATATGGAATTCTGTAATCAACATGACCAATATGTCTAATAAAAATGAAACATGTCTGCTAAGATTCATGTTATGTGGACACATGATACACCACTTCTAAAAAGATCCATACTTTCTTCCCAGTTGTTAGTTTTTTAGGCTGTACCAAAATATACATGCCCATACTATTCTAAAATCACTTTTCTCCAGAAAGAAAGAAAACAAAACTTTGTAAATATGTTTAGTTGGGCAATTGGAACTTATTTAAATACCTAATTAGGGGAGGCTCTGAACAATCTGAAAAGATAGGGGATTATAGGAATACACTGGTAAGTGATGAAATAAAAGAGCACACACATTGGAATCACACCATGTAGAACCTTACAGATTTATAGTAAACTCTGTAAGAAAAATGAGAATAATCAACGTTAAGCTCAGTCAACAAAGCTCCAATTTGGTTGCAAAGTCACAATGTTTTTAACACCAAAAGTGTTTTTTAGGGCTGGTAGAGTGGCTCAAGTGGTACAGCACCTGCCTAGCAAGCACAAGGCCCTGAGTTCAAAGCCCAGTACCAGAAAAAAAAAAAAGTGTTTTTTAAAATTTCATTTTCACTTGAAGACTTGACTGAATAGTCTAATTAAAATGAAATGGAAATTATTTTCTTATAAATTTTCTTCAAATACCCACAGGACATCACATTCTGAATTTTTCAGTAGCTCACATCTTAAAATTAAGATTCAACAGGACAGCAAAAGCACAAGCAACAAAAGAAGTAATAGAGAAGTTGGAGTTCATCAAATTCAAAACTTTTGCACTTCAAAGGACACCATTGAGAATGTGAAAAGACAGCCCATAGGATGGGAGAAAGTATTCGCAAACCATTCATTTAGGAAGGGCCAACGATCAATTAAAAAAAAATTTTTAAATGGGCAAAAATGCTAACAACGCTTAACCAATAGTGAAATGTAAATAAAAACTACAATGAAATATAACTTCACACCCACTAGAATAGGTAAAATCAAAAAGAGACAATAACAGGTATTAGTAAGAATCTAGAGAAACTGGGATCCCCTCATACACTACTGGAGGGGTTGTAAAATGGTACACTGATAACAGCAAACATTTTGGGAATTCCTATGAAGTTTAACACAGAATTACCATGTGACCCAAATTTCTCTCTGAAGTGTATAACCAAGAGAACTGAAAACATATGTTAAGACATGTATGGTGGTATACACCTATAATCTCAGCACTAGGGAGGCTGAGGCAGGAGGATCAAGAGTTTGAGATGAGCATGGGCTACACACAGTAAGTTCTAGATAGGCTGTGCTACAGAAAAAAAAATAGAAAAGAAATATATAAACATAAAAACTTGTACATGAATGCTCACAGCATTCATGCCAAAAGGTAGAAACAACCTAAATGTGAATTTATCAACTGGTAATGGAATAATAAAGCATGCCATATCCACACAGTGCTGCAGTGTGAAGGTTCCTCAAAAATACTGTGCTAAGTTAAACAGCCAGACACAAAAGACCACATATTGGATGATTCCATTTATCTGAAATGTTCAGAACAGGCAAATCCAGAATAAAAAGTAGATTCATGACTGTCAATGGGGCAGGGAAAGATAAAACAAGGAGTAACTTTTTTTTTTTTAAGAATCAAAAAGATTCTTGTCAATGTTTACTGTCTGTCTTTTTAATTTCAGTCTTTAGTGGTTTCTTTTGTGGGTGATAAAAATATTCTGAAATTCGATGGCAGTGATGGTAACACAACTTTGTGAATACACTGAAAACCATTGAACTGTGTACTTTAAAAGGGTGAAAGGGTGAATTTTATGTATTTTATATATATCCTGAGAAACAGAAATATGACCCTAGAATTGGATATATACTAGAGCTGCAAATGATCTTATCCCTTTAAATAAATTAGTATACAAACAATAGATAACACCTTAGTAGTATCATTTGCATTGTTTCTTCTACTTTTTGGTTATTATTAATAATGTAGCTCTGAACATTCATGCACATGTTTTTATGTTAACATGTGCGCCAATGTATGTGGTATGTGATGCACACTAATCCAAACAAGAAGTTGAATAAGCAGGCCACTGGCAGGAAAGAAAATGAAGCGTATTTTCAACAGGTCTCTCAAAACTCAAAAGACAAAAGTGTTTTATGTCAACCCTTTTCTTCTCATAACACTATTTTCCCAACTTTTCTATTCCACTATCTTTTATGTTGCACTATCTATTTTTTATGAATAGTTTATCAGTAGCACCTTTTTCTCTGACCTTTTCCAACCCTTGTTGGCTACCAAAGTAAACCGGGGGGGGGGGTGGGGGAAGAATAAAAAGCATCAAGAATATAATTCTCTAATATGAACCTATAAAGTTAAAACATTTTTTATTGGTTATGGATCTAATTGCCTCTATTCTAGCAAAAGACTAAATCCAATTATTTCATTATTTTTATTACACAGGCTTTTGAGCATGAATCCAAAGAGCTCTCCAACCTCACTTACAAGCCTGTCCCAAGTATATCCCTACAACTCAGCATCCCTACCCAAACCTATCGCTAGCATTTGTTGATCACATCTTTGCTTGTTAGGCTGTGACCTTGGAGGAGGCCACTAGCTATCCAGATGGCTATGGAAAATCCTAGTCATAAAGAGACCTAGTTCAGATCACCTGGTGCAAGAAGCCTTCAATAGCTGCCCCACAACCTTATCTTTCACTTTTCTTAACATTCATCAATTTTCACCTCTGTTATAAACTCTCATTCGCTTATATACTCTAAATTGCTTTCCAATTACAGTGTCAACTCCCTGGGGACACACACAACACCTGATGCCATCCATTCATATGTTCCTTTTTGTGTGTCACATCTTGTA